AATTGCTTCAGTTTGTGTTTAAAACCAGCCCGGTCAGAGTTCAGTTTTAGCTGAGGGCTTAAAGAGTTCCAGAGCTGTACCCCCTGGACCGAGAAGACCGACTGTGGTTCTCCTGGGGGGGGGGAGACAATACATATAATAACATTCATTGACTCAAATGCACAATCACCTGATGTTATTAAGCAGCATTATGGACTGAGGTACAAATAGGGTTGCCAACCGTCCCTTGAAATACGGAATTGTCCCGTATTATAGAAAAACTATGTGCGTCCCGTATTGAACTGATACGGGACGGCTTTTGTCCCGTATTTTCAGAGCCACCTCAAATGCATCACTCACTCACTGCATGTCACACACACACAGTAATGATCACAGTTGAAGCATCTACCTTTCGGCCAATCAGTGTCAAAGGGGCGTAGGCTTGATCTCAGACGTTGGTTTAATGTTGACTGGCGCAGTTCGGTAAAGTCAGCTTGATATTCACAGATTCGGACTTCCGCCATGAATATCTCACGAAAGCAACGTTGTTAAACGAAAGTAATGGTGCCAAAATGATCACCTCTACTTAGGCTTAACTTTACCGAACTGACAGGCGCCAGCGTGGGCCGTGCCCGCAGCACCATCACGTCAGAAGTTTGGTAAAGTAGGCTACTTTAGTCCGAAATTCCCAAATTCGGACTTCCGCGGTCAATAGCTCACAAAAGCTACTTTGTTAAACAAAAGTAATTGTGCTAAAATGATCATCTCTATGTTTTACAAATCCAATGTGCTGTTTTAATGCAGAGAAATCCTCTGAATCCAATGCACTGCAAGCGCCGAGAAAAGCACTTAGGGACCGTCAACAAATATCCAGACCAGCTTTGTAAACGAACAATAGCTTTTACTGAAGCCACAAACCTGCACAAAACTCAGACAATATAAATAATGATGACTACTACATGAACTAGTAGATGAACTACTACAGACTGATTTGTGAGTTTTTAATGAATACATATGTTTTTCTTTTTTTATCTGCTTTTACAGAAATTGGTCTTTACTGTAACATTCATAAATAATGTATGTTACAGTATTTGTCTTTTTTATATTTTTTAATTTTTTTATATTACTAATAAGAATGCATTAAGTCCTTAACCAGCCAGAGTTCCACCTATTTATTCAATTTCATTTTTGACTAAGGATTTTTTTTTTATATGTAGTCAATAAATTACAATCTAAAAACTGTGATTGTGAAATTCCATGATTACTGTGTAGACTGAAATTAGGACTAAAAAGTGCTCAACCCGATCCACCCAAATGGTGTCCCTTATTTTTTTGTTCTCAAGTTGGCATCCCTAGGTACAAAAGAGTTCTCGTTAGAGGAGCCTCATGTGACAGACCAGTTAGCATTGTTCATCTGAGTCTATGTTCATCTGTATACAGTCTATGTTAGCATTGTTCATCTGCATACAGTCTATTTTAGTATTGTTCATCTGTAGACCGTATGTTAGCATTATTCATCTGTAGATAGTATATGTTAGCACTGTTCATCTGTATACAGCCTATGTTAGCATTGTTCATCTGTATACAGCCTATGTTAGCATTGTTCATCTGTATACAGCCTATGTTAGCATTGTTCATCTGTATACAGCCTATGTTAGCATTGTTCATCTGTAGACAGTCTATGTTAGCATTGTTCATCTGTAGACAGTCTATGTTAGCATTGTTCATCTGTATACAGCATGGATCTATTATGTTAGTATTGTTCATACATATTTCCAGCGTATGGTGGAGATGGAGGTGGTTTAGCAGTAGTATATGTAGTATATGTAGTATATGTAGTATATGTAGTATATGTAGTATATGTAGTATATGTAGTATATGTAGTAGTATGTAGTATGAGGGCAGCTGGAGTGACTCCTGTGAGTGGAGCAGATGTGGATCTTCATGAAGTGGTTTGGGATCCTGTTTATTTCAGCTTCAGCTTCACTTCCAGTAACAGAGACGACAGAAGAGATAAAGTACAAACGTCTGCAGATAATTTGTGACAGCAGCAAAATACAACATGAGGCTTGTGAAAACAAAAGTGACAGCAGTGTATGTGTGTGGGAGTCTGTGTCAGTTCTGCATCATGTTCAAGAAATAAGTTTAGTGAGTTTGTATGAATCACTAACTGAAGAAATGTTCAAATAAGGCAAAAAAAAACTATTTCTTGATAATTATAATTAATAATACTGCTGATTCTGCTACTACTGCTACTGCTGCAACTACTACTGCTACTACTACTACTGCTTCTATTTTTACCCCATTACTACTCTGAGAACACTGCAAAAAATGATGAAAATATGAGGTAATAATTGCTTGAATCCAGTCATTTTTATCTTTCTGAGTACATTCTGAATGTCTTAACAAGATTTGCCAATGGGACAAGTCATTTAGTCTTATTTCAAGAACGGTTTCTTTATTTTCTCATTCCAAGGGAGACATTTCTATTTCTATTTAAAAGAAGATAATTTTGCTTTTCAATCATTTCATTTTATTTTTCATCCCTTTATTATCCATATCTGGGTCAGAGCTGCCACCCAATTCACAATGAACCAGACCCTCGGTGATCCTCCTGCAGGTGGTGGGTCCGTAGGTAGATGGCTGCTCCTTCAATGCACATCCGGCCTTGGTGTTTCCGCGGGGGCTTCAGGCAAAGTGGGGTTAAGTGTCATGCCCAGGGACACAACTACAGGACACATCAGTGGGAGCAGATGACATGGGTCATGGTGGGATCAAACCCACAACCACTTGGTCAAATTAGGATACATTTTGTACTTATTCGTCATGACTTTTTGAAGTGTACCACTGCTACTATTACTACTACTACTGCTATAATATAGTAGCCACATGTGCCCTGCAGATGTGTAAAGGCTCATGGGTAACATCTGTGTTTGACTGTTTTTCTTCTTAGAGTTTTCTTTCCTCTGAATCTTTGGAACATTTCCTCAGTGTGTCCTGATCTTTGCTCTTGTTGCACTGCTCGTCAGGGGCACAGCGCTAACCCGCTGGCACAATGAAGCCCAATAGGGAAAGCGAAATGCTCATCAACAAAGTTTGGCTCCAACTGGCTCTGGCTTGTGGTGACATGTAAAAGCAAACTCCTCTAACTCTGTAGTTGTTTGTGTCACACTCACCATTTTGGGCTTAAAAATATGTGTTATAACGCTCTCTGTGATCCTGGTGTTTATAGTGTGATATTGCCTTTGTGAATCCCTCTATAACAGGATTGACCAATCAGATGCCTTCATTCGCAGGGGAAACTCCAGCTTGTCTTAGCAACCGTCTTAGCAACAAGTCTGCCCCAGTTACAGCTGAGGCTAACGCAGCGGAAATTGGCTCCAGCTAGCTTACGTTCCTATCAGCCTCTCCTGCTTTAACGCTAACAGTATGGTGATGTCACACTCGTTCAGTTCACTCCTGTGGTTTTTGCACTGCGGGAATGAGACTATTGTGTCCTTTGGCAACACACTTCACACACACTTCATAGTAGGATTTCAGAAAGTAAAGGAAAAATGTATTATGTATTTTGTAAATTAGTCATGGTATTAGAGGCATTATCGACTTCTTCACTGGATTTTTTCCCTGCTAACGTCGGATTCCCTTGTTTTCGCCCTTCCGTGTGTTCAGAGAGACGGCCTGTATGTTGACACGCAGTTGTCACAGAGATTATACACACACTCAGTCTATAGAACCAGGAGGAGTCTTCTGTTTGTGCCCCAGGACAAAAATAAATCCAAAAACCACAGCTCACACCAGGGCTCCAGATTTTGCTGTTTGCCCGACGCTCTGATGCAACTTCAATGTCTCATAAATCTGTTCTCAGCACGAAATCAAGCACATGTGCATTCTGGTCTGCTGACTACAACTTCCCAGAGTGAGTCTTTAAACTCGGCCTGCGTGTGTGAGAGTCATTACACATTTTCAAAGCACTTAGTTAGCGGTTAAAAAAAAAAACGAATGCAATGAATCTGGAGTTCCACAGGGGTCGATCGTGGGACCTTTTCTGTTCAGGCTCAACATATGGTACATTGTCCTGACCATCCATGTTCTCCAGCATTGAGCATATATTAGGAGTAGAAAGACCGAGACTGAGTGTGACATCACCAAAGTGTAAGCCTTAATGTGGAAGAAGCCGATGTGAAAATAACCTACTTCCCACTGTAATAGGGGTAGACGTGCTGCTACAAGTACCACCGCTACTACTACTATTACTGCTACTACTACTGTATGTGCCATTCACCTGTTCTGATATTCCGTGGATCACTACATTAGCACATATTCCATTTATCTGATCATTCTGTTCTGATAATTCACTCGTCACTTTACTTGATGCTATTATTACTATTGTTTATTCTGGTCATATTCTCTACTGCTAAAGTACAGTATAATCATATGTAAATGATGACGCTAACTACAGTGTGTACTTATCCTTGAACCAAGTGCAATTATACCTCCAAAATGTTATACTAATCTATTATTGTCATCGTATAATTTATTATCTTTAAAAATAGATCCTGTTTGATGTGTGCAACCTTTTATTTTCTCCTTTTATTCTGCTATAATGTGCAGAACTTCTTTTGACTTCTTCTACTGCTGCAACACTTAGCTCTCCCCACTGTGGGACGAAAAGGTTCTCTTTTTCTGTTATTTTGAGTTGGGAGCTCACTAGTCTCCCCAAATATAGCAGATGTCTTCTCACACATGCACAGGTCTACCATCCACACTACCACAAGAATCACTGCTGCTCCTTCTATTCCTTGAGCTCCAGATAGTGGAGAGATCCCCTAGAGCAGTTCTAGAGCTGCCTCTGTGGATCTGTCGGCGACTGTGCAGAGCAGACGTTTTGGCCTCTGCTGTTGCGGCGTGTTGTAAGCTCATTCCTCACACATGGGTCATCTCTGAGTCACCGCTGCAGGCTTCAAAACCAGACCCAGTCCAGAGCAGGATCAGTCCGTGTGCAGTGTGGACAGTTTGGAAGCATGGATTCTACCTCAGTCTTCGCTCTGTGTCTGCTGCTCTGCGTCTCCAGAACCTTCTCTACTGTGGCTCCATGGACAGAGTTGGAGGAAGCAAAGGTACAACTGATTTTTGTCTTTATAAAAACATTCTCACACACACACGCACACACACACACACAGTCATCCCATGCAGGGCTTGTTAAAGCTGAGGTACCTCATAAATCCACCATAAAATAATTCCTATCACTAGTTCCTGGCTCTAAAACAGTTTGTTTCTACTCTGCTCTATTGAGAGAGTTTCCACTGGCCCTATTCAACCGGTACCATGTCCTACTTTAGTCCCTCTATGCTCTGGCTCTGTCCAGGTTATCAGCCAGAGTGCTACTGGAAGCCATGGTTACCAAGGAATTTCCCTGGACACTGGTTTGTTGTGGGTAGATTGCTAAGATTTGGTACCAGATCAGACTAAAGCCTAACAAAAAAGCTACCAGGCAGAATATACACTTAATCAGTGTGTAAAAAGTAATTTTCTTTTGTGGTGTAGTGTTGTGGTGGCTCACAATTATGCCACAATATTGATATAAATATATATAAAACATTTGCATCGGTAGCAAAACCCTGGCAAAGGTCTGCGCATACGCTCTTAGAACTACAGTTTATTAACTAATAATATTAATTATTATATATATATGCTGTATTATGTTATATATTATGTTATATATTATTCAATAATGTATTGTGTTATGTTGTATATTATGTTATATATTATGCTGTATGTTATTCTTTATTCAAGGCTAGGTTTAAAACAGTCCTCTTTAGTTTAGCATATGGCTAGGAAGGTAAGACTCGGAGAAGGTTAAACTCCTCAGAGTGTTAGTCAAGCTGCATAGGGAGTCAGTTTGCTGGGAGAAGTATGGTAACTTGAGCACTATCCTCTCCTCCTTCCTACTTTATCTGTTTAGCATTTTTAGGATTCTGACTGTAGTTTGTTCATTGCTATTCACCCGTTGTCCCATTGTCTGTTTCATGGTACGATGACGGGATCTCTGAGCCTGGCCTCTTCCGTCTGCGCCTGCGGACTGCCCCGCCCGGCCCGCCTGGGAGTGCTTCGGTCCTGCGCCGGACCTGTCCACGTTCAGCGGCCACTGGTCCACGTTCTGTAGCTAGCTTAGGTCCTAGATCATTAGCCTGTCCGTCCGGAGGAGCGGATCCCTTTCTCATATGGGTCTCCCTCCCTGTGGGTTTCCCTAGTTCTCCCCAAGGTTTCTCACTGTTTCCCACTGGGTTTTTTAAGAGTTTTTCCTTGTCGATGCAGGAGGGTCTTGTTGGACAGTTAGTGTCCAACAGAAAGGATTGGTGATGATCAGGACACTTTAGCATTCTACAACATGTATGGACATTTTCTTCTGTGTGTGCTTTATATTTTTCATGTGTTTTAACTGTTGATTCTCTGATCTGTGTTGGTGATTTCAATGGTTTTGTTAAGTCCTCTGAGATGACTTCTGTTGTGACCTAGGGCTATACAAGAATAAATTGTATTGTATTGTATTGTATTAACTTGTTCAAAGGCCTCAGCCTCACACTGTGGTAGCAGCACTTTCATGCTCACTTTTGTTAAGTTAGTAAATGATTGTATGGGGAAATAAACAGACGGGAATCGATACAGGGAAATTATATCATTTAGGATGATCTTATGTAACTTTCTTCTGCAGACGTATCTGAATAAGTTTGGCTACATGGAAGACTCTCAAGACCCCAACAACCTGGAGGACATCATCGAAGCTCTCAAGTAAAGGCTTGTTCGTGATATACTGTATTTACCATATATTTCTGAAGCAGAAAAGTAGGGTACTTACTCAGTTCAGTGTTGAACTGTTTGATTCTGTGATCAGTGTTGGCAAATTCAACGGTTATATTATGTCCTCCGAGATAATTACTGCTGTGATTTAGAGCTATAGAAGAATAAATAGTTTTGAATTGTATTTGACGTGTTGTGTTGTTGTCAGGGTGTTTCAGAGGGCCAACGAGCTGCCCCCTACTGGAGAGCTGGATGAACAGACTCTGGAGGTGATGAGGAGCCCGCGCTGTGGCATCCAGGACCCCTTTAACCAGAGGCAGCAGAAGTACAGAGTGATGGGTGGGTCCCCCCACCCTTCTGCCTGAACCACAGCTGACTCAAGCATTAGCTAACATAATGCTATCTTGTTTGGTTGAATATTCAATTCAGTTAATGTATTTGTGTATTGCCCTAAATCACAACAGCAGCCGTCTCAGAGGAGTTTACAAAGTTGTGGATTCCCAACAACAGATCAAAGAATCAAACAGTTCAAACACAGGAATTGCAATAATAACAAACACATAGAACCATTGATCCATAGTTAATAAATGCCCATAAATGTCCTGGATCATCACTGTCCAGGACTGAGGCTGTAGATCCACATGAGTGGTTGTAATTTATTAACAATAAATGAACAATCATGAGAGTATTTTTGATGACAGTGTTTATGCTCCTCCCTCAGGCCGGTGGAGGAAGCGCGCCCTGACCTACCGGATCCTCTCCTGGACCCCAGACCTGTCTCGGTCTGAAGTCCGGTCCGCTCTGCGCGCGGCCTTTGCGTACTGGAGCGAGGTCACGGCTCTGAGCTTCAGGGAGGTGCAGTTTGGAGCCGCCGACATCCGCATCTCCTTCCACACCAAGGACGGGCTGTGCCCCGTGCCTTTCGACGGACCAGGTACCTGCCCGCGCCCTTCCATAGACCTGGTCTGTGCCTCAGTGCCTGCGCCCATCCACTGACCTGGTCAGACCAGGTCCGTGGAAGATCCAGTTACACCAACCAGAGTCAAGCCAACTTCTCTGTCGGCCCTTGTTGCCCACGACTTGTCGCTCAAACATCAGCGACTCCAGCCACATGGACGTTCTATCTCATGGATACATAAACCCACATTTTCTCTCCTCTCTCCCCCCTCCTTCTTCATCACCCTTTTATCCCCTGGGTCCAGGTCAGGTCCTGGCCCACGCCGAAGCCCCCGAGTCTGGGGTGGTACACTTCGATGAGGACGAGCAGTGGACCGAGGGCTCTTTTCGGGGCACGAATCTGCGCATTGTGGCGGCTCACGAGATCGGCCACGCGCTGGGGCTGGCGCACTCACAGTACCGCAGCGCACTTATGGCCCCGGTGTATTCTGGGTACAGGCTGAACTTCAAACTGCACCATGACGACATCAGGGGCATTCAGGCGCTCTACGGTAACACTGAGGGGTTTCCACGGCACGCACTACACAAAAACAACTTTTGTGAGATTTACTGTGTTACAACATCATAAACACACCTTCCATTCACTGCAATCAGGCCCGTCCTAAGGGCTGTGCGACCTGTGCCGTCGCACAGGGCCTCGCACCACACAGGGGCCTCGCAATCTTCCTTCCTTTTATTTTATTTTATAAATACACTAGTTCAAGGGTCCCCAAAGGGCAGACTGCACTCCAAATTTGGAACCCTAAACCCCTTTCTCTGGACCTCTTTGATTTCGTTTGATCAAAAGAACATTTTTACAAGTAAAGTCAAATTTTCACCAAAAGCGATTTGTAAACAGGCAGGCGCGCGGGCAGCTATGTATGCAACGGGTCCTCCGAAAAAACTGTCAGATAACTTTAGCAGTGTCTGAGTGAGATACAAAGAAAGTAACGGGAATGATCGCAGTGTAGGAGAGATGGATACTCGCGGAGGAGGAGCAGTGAGACAAGTGTGAGCAGAGGAGCAGACCCCTTTGTGTGAGCAGAGGAGGAGGAGGAGGATCAGCGGTGTGACAGGTGTGTGAGCGCTGCTATTGCCAATGTTTAGTCCGAATATCCACATCAAAAACATATTTTTAAAAGCATTAGCAAACACACTGTATGTCTAGCTTTAGCTAGCTGGAGTGTTTTTGTTGTGGTCAGAGTGTGTGGAGGAGGAGGTGTGAAGAGTATTTTGTTGTTGTCAGTGTGGAGGAGGAGGAGTGTGAGTGTGTGGAGGCATGGCAAAAACGTTATTTGATGAGAAAAAAATAATATTGACTCCGCCTCATAGCCCATTTTGGCGCATTTTGCCAAAATCTAACTATTAGAAGAAAAAGACTCCTTTTGGTTCAATCTTTTGAGTTGCTCTACCATTTTGCCACAGGACGAAAGAGACATGTCAGCTAAAAAGACCGCGACCAATATTGCACGTAGAGTGTGTGTGCGTGTGTACGTGCGCGCGCCAAACGCTGCATAGGAGCGAAGACACTCGGTTACACGCGTGCTGATCTCGTCAAGCACCGCGCGAGGTGGTGCTGAATTCATGTCAAAGATTATAACAGGAAAAACTTTCCTCAGATCTGGGAAAAAAGTGTCAGGGCAGGGCCTCGCGTTTCGAGTTCGCACAGGGCCTCGCACCCCCCTTGGGACGGGCCTGACTGCAATGACATTTATTTTTGTATAGCTCTGAATCCCATCAGTAGTTATCTCGGAGGACTTTACAAATGTGTTGATTCGCCGACACAGATCAGAGAATCCAACAGTTCAAACACAGAAATACGATGATAAAACATTGAGCTATTGATCCATAAGGGGAAGACAACCAATGTCCATAAAATGTCCTCCTCATAGTGTGGTTTTTTGAGCAACGTTATGATCAAGAACCTTTGCCACAGATGTCCCCCGCCCTTTCTGTCTTGATGCTCTGTTTTCAAAGGGAGTCCCATCACAGTGACAGAAGATCCTGATATGAGCCTGGCTGGAGCTAAATATCAGAGACCAGTGTTGTGTACGGTTAAAAACTCGTAAAGTCTGTTCTTTACACTGATGTCCTCTATGTTGCAGGTAAGCGGGCGCCAGGTCCTGTGGCCAGCTCTCCCCCTTCTCCTCTTCGTCCCACTCTGAGCTCGGGTCGTGTCCCGGACCCCTGCAGAGCCCCCCTGGACGCCATCATGCTCGGTAACACACCGATAATCAGACATTAGAAGATAATCAAAGAGACAATATTAACAGTGTGTGGTCAGGTCCCTGGGGGAAGACCTTTGCCTTCAGTGGGGACTATGTCTGGACCGTGTCGGACTTGGGACACAATGCTCCAATCCGGATCCAGCGTCTGTGGAGAGAACTGCCGGGGAACCTAAACGCCGCCGTGCACTCGCCTCGCACCAACAAGACCTACTTCTTCAAAGGTGAGACCGAAGACCAACGACATGAGTTTGAAGACAGCATTCATTGAGAAGGGAGAGGGGTCGTTATAAGAAAAGAGACCATATATTAGAGCGTATGGAGCTAAAGAGCACTCCAGGTCCAGAAAACATGTTTAAATCTCTTTCTCTTTAACATGATGTCATCAGGTAACAGAGTGTGGAGGTACCAGAACTTCCTGCTGGATTACGGGTACCCCAAACCCCTGACCCGAATCCCCCCAAACATCCACGCTGCGCTGTACCTCCAGAAGAACCAAAAACTAGTCTTCATCAAGGTAAGCTCATCTATCGATACTGATGTCCTCAGACACCTCAGTCAGAGGGGCAGTCTGCCCCAGGGCAGCTGTGACTGCAGTACCTCAGCGTTACTTGCCTGTTTTTGTAAACTATAAATAATATTCAATAACAATCTGTTTTTCTCTCCCTTCCATGATTCCTCCCCCTCTCCACCTCCTGTGTCCTTGCCCTATCCCTTCCCCTCTCGTCCTCTCACCCCTCACTCCTCTCACCCCCTCCTCAACACCCCCCTCCCTCCTCCTCAGGGCTCGGAGTTCTGGCAGTGGGATGAGCTCCGTCACACAGACATGTCCCTGTACCCAAAGCCCCTCTCTCTGCTGCTGCCGGGACCCTCCAGTCCGGACGCTGCCTTCACCTGGACCAACGGCCGTATCTACCTGTTCAAGGGCGCCTCATACTGGAGAGTGAGCGAGCAGCTGAGCCTGGACCCGGGGTACCCCCAGAGCACCAGGCTGCGCTGGATGCGCTGTTAGACTGAGGCCTGAGGAGGACTGAGGCCACAGGGGGGCGCTATAGACTGTGACCAGCAGAGTCCAGCATGAACTTATTATACTAGAGTAGCACCATGAAGGCTGCATCTGGAACTCAAGAAATACCTCCTTCTACTTCACTACTGCTACTATAATAATAATAATTATCCATCCATCCATCTTTTTCCCCTTAATCCATTTCTGGGTCAGGGGGTGGCAGTCAGAGCTACCCCAATTCACAGAGCACCAGCCCCTCACTGATCCTTTGCAGGTGCTGAGTCCACAGGAGGATGGCTCTTCTGTCAGTGACGACATAATCTTGATTTTTCAGCGGGGGCTTCAGGCAAAGTCGGGTTAAGTGTCTTGCCCAAGGACAAAAATACAGCAGAGATCAGTAGGAGTCAGGCTCAAAAGGCCAATGTTCTACCAACTGAGCAACTGTCGCCACTGAGTGTAATAATAATTATGATAATAATACTTAAGGCATACTGTTCACTTCGTAGTTAATTAACTACTGTAGCCACAGCTGCCCTGGGGCACACTGACAGAAGCGGGGTAACCAGTATGTGTCATCAGCCATCTAACCACCACTAACCATTCAACAGATTCACAATAGGGAAATATGAGTGTCTTGCAGATGGACACAACAGCCGCAGCTGCCCCTCTGTGGCACCTGGTTTTCCCAGAGGTCTCCCATCACAGTTCTGACCAGGCCCTGCCCTGCTTAACTACAGAGGTCTGAAAAGCCAGGATTGCTATTATTACTATTTGACCGAACCAGTCTCCTGAAGCAGAAGGAGGTAGATCTGGTTCAATGTACAGTTTACGGAAATGTGGATAGTTCAAGTTAGAATCCTGAAAGAAGAACTGTATCTCTATGGAGACGAGCAGGAGGACATGGTCGTCCTGTGGAGAGGCCAGTCTGCTTTCAGCTGGGGCACATTCTTATGAGAGTGCCAAAGCTGTACACATTATACAGGATCATATCGTCTGTATGAAAAAAATATGTTAAACGCAGGTTTATCAAGCTGGAGTTTCCCCAGGGAATGGGGGCATCTGATTGGTCTGTTCTTATATGACTCATATCTAGATTAAGACAATTTCATAATATAAACACCAGAATCACAGAGAGTGCTAAAAAATACACCCTCAAAACCGAAATGGTGAGCATGGCACAAACGGTTACTGAGCGAGAGGACTTTACTTTTACATGTAAATCAAGAGGAGCCAGAGTGAGTTGGAGCCATGGATCTATTATAATAACGGTTGGAGCCAAACGTCACCATAGATGGATAAACACTTTATTGATCCCCGCAGGAGAAGTTCAGGTGTCAGAAACACATCCATCCATACAAACAAATAAATACATCATTTTAGAAGTTACTAACAAACTACAACATTCCCAGTGGGGCTTCGTTGAACTCGCGGGTTAGTATTGTCCATCTGTACGCAGTCACAGTTATTTCACGTTTTTGAGGTTGTACATTTTATATAATGTTATATTTTGAATAAAAACATGTTCCACGTCTATGACTTGATGCTGTTTGCCTCAGACAAGAAATCTTATGTATTAATTGCGGTCAGTAAAATTTCTGATGAGACAGTTCATCCAAGTCTTAAAACATGGTGAAACAAGTTACAAAGGAACATAATGCTATCGGCCTGTATCTCCTAATGCTGCCACCAGAGAGAGAAACCAAAGAGAGATCAGAGGGAGCTGCAAACACAAACATCATTTCACATGAGATATCACATGTACGTATGTATCATATGATTTATGGACAATACTTGGTTTAAAAGTCAGAAACTGCTCTGATCGTAATGTCAGAGTGATGACATCATACTATTAAGGACTGAGACAGGAGCTTTCAGACAGAAGGGGCGAGGCCACATGTTTGTGCCTGATTTTAGCCTTGATGGATCTAAAAACAACTCCAGGTCTGTGTCTGAAAAGGATTACTATTGTAACATGAAGAAAACAGAAAACGTCAATTTAACTTTCGAAAGACCCAGAAATGGACGAAGGGGATGAAGATAAATGAATGAATGAAAGATCAACTAGAATCAATGTTAGATCAACGTTTATGGTCCTATTGCAGTTTTCGGGCCTGTTGGGTTTGGTATGACTCTGCCCTCTGCTGCTCAGAATGGGAAGCAAAAAAACAAACAATACATACTGTATATACATTAATTCATATCCCCATTATTAATCCATTAGTCCAATCAGAGCTGCCATCCGATGCTCATAGCACCAGTCCCTCACAGACCCTCCTGCAGCTGGTGGGTCCATAGAAGATACGGCCGTGGTCTTTCAGCAGGGGCTTCAGGTTAAAATTGGGTTAAGTGTCACCACTCAACGACAGCAGACATCAGTGGGAGCAGGTGCCATGGGTCGTGGGGGGATTGAACTCACAACCATCAGGTCAAAGACCAATGCTCTACCAACTGAGCCACTGTCCCATATATTTTAAAGATACAAAAAAAGAGAAAACAGTCTTGTTTGTACTTGTATGGGTTCTATAGATGGACAACGCAAACCCACATGTTCAAAGTAGCCCAATAGCAAAGCGCGCATAGACAAAGTTTGGCTCCAACTCAGTCTGGTTACTTTCAAGGGCCTGGTTAATTCTGTGATGGAAGACCTCTGGAAACATCAGGAGCCACAGTGGGGTGGCTGTTGCTGTATAGTTCCAAACTGTCGTGGTGTCCTTAGGCAAGTCCCTTCACCCACATTGCCTAGAATGAGTCTGGTGAGTGTGTGTGAATGGTTGGTGGTGGTCAGAGGGGCTGATACTGGTTGCCTCTCTTCAGTCAGTGTGCCCCAGGGCAGCTGTGGCAACTGTAGTAGTTTGTCACCACTGTGAATGAAGAGAATGAATAATGCTGTAAGTCTTTATGAAGTCTTTATGGGGCATTCCCGAACAGAACACACAGTTTAACAGCCTCTTCTTCCCTCGAGCGTTTTCTTCATTCACATGTATATATTGACGTAAATGAGACGTGTTGACGCCTGTCTAAACGGAGACTTATGCAAAACATATTATCATTTCTACTTTCTCCAAATGCCTCTCGGTTTCTGTGTCAAGCATTTGTCAGGTTTAAACAGTTGCATAAAACCCTGGAGCAATGTCCGTCATAATGATCCTATGAAACTGCACTTCTGTTGTCTCCAATCACAGACATCAGGTTTTGTATCAAACATTTTTATTTGTAGAAATTTCTATCCACATATGTACAGAGAGGAAGTAACACACCAGAGACGAAAACTCAGAATTCTACAAACATCACTACAGAGGATTACTCATGTTATAAATAAAATAAAAAACACACACACACAAGCATACACACATCCATACATGCACGCACACACGCACATACACACAAATGCTACAAGTCACGGCAAACTCCTGTACGCTTTTAGCATTTTTTAAGGCTAAAACAGAACACGTAAAATCCACAAAAGCATCAAACAATAAGACGAGTTTTTCAAGAAACAACATTTTTTTGTGGCTTCAAGTCCAAAAAATGCAGTGTCTCCTTTTGCTCCAAAAACACAAAAAGAACGTAGCGTAACATAGGCATTTCCTGTACTTCTGTCCTTCTCCGTCTCAAATAGATCCTGGAGCTACAGCCTCAGTCCTGGATCTACAGCCTCAGTCCTGGATCTACAGCCTCAGTCCTGGATCTACAGCCTCAGTCCTGGATCTACAGCCTCAGTCCTGGATCTACAGCCTCAGTCCTGGATCTACAGCCTCAGTCCTGGATCTACAGCCTCAGTCCTGGATCTACAGCCTCAGTCCTGGATCTAAAGCCTCAGTCCTGGATCTAAAGCCTCAGTCCTGGATCTACAGCCTCAGTCCTGGATAGTGGTCACCCCGCTCTCTATGGCTCCTATGTGTTTATCATTATTGAATTTCCTGTGTTCAAACTGTTTGAGTCTCTGTTTTGTTTGTTGGGGTATCTACAACTTTGATTTAGGGCGATACACAAATACATAAAACGTTAAAAAACGTGTCCATCTCTCATCACATACATGTTACATGACAAAACACCAGAATGTCGTTTTCATCAGAAAAATATTCAAGTTTCTGTTGCGTTTCAATAATTCTACTCAGCAGGTGACGCTACATTAGCGTCACCTGCTGACGTTTACGGCAAGATTACTCCACTAGTACATTTGTGAATTGTCAAACTAACTCAGCAGTTGGATTCTTCCGGTTCTAAGCTTTAAAATAATGTATAGCATGTGTGTAAAGGCAGGGCTGAAGATGGCTGGATGACATCTCTTACTTCTGTTGGGCACCGGTCAATATGAAATGCATGGATTGTAACACAAATATAACGATTGAATTGTATAGATTGTGTGCCTTAAAATTAGGTATTGTCTTGGTCAAAAAGTTTTCGGTTCATACCAAATTTGTGGTTTTGTAACTCATTCAAATCACATCGTGGCGGTGGCAAAGCACTTTATGACTTTGTACCACCACCACTTCTTCAATATCTAGTGCTTTCCTCAAGTGGCAGAAAAGATTAGCTAAGAAAACATGACCAAACCGATTCCACCATCTCAAGTAGTGGTAAAGATATGAATAGCAAGGTCCTCTTCAACATAAGTCCGACCACTAGGGGCAGTGCATTCAGTCCTATGGAGTTTTGAGTCATAGTCCAAACCTTCTCGACTCTGGGGTTTCTCAAAGTTCAGTCTTGATCCAATGAAAAGGCAATAAACATAACGTTTAGGAGACCAGAGGCGTCAAACTGGTTCCAGAAAAGGCCAGTGTGGTTGCAGGTTTTCATTCCAAACAAGGAGCACGGCAGCCTCCACACATTTCCTCAAGTCTCCAGGTTAAGAAAGAGAACAGAAAGAGACGTCTGGGAGAGAGACCAGAGAGCAAAGAGAGAGGCCAGAGAGAGAGAGAGAGAGACCAGGGCGGAGAGACCAGAGAGTGTGGCTTCAGGTATAATTTAAAAATCCCAGGACCTATCACTGATATGACGACAATATTGGATCGGGAAGACAAAATCAGAGAAAGAAGATTAAAAAGGTCATATGTTCCACACAGTTCACACTCTGACCACCGGGGTCGTGGCGGTCAATGGGGCGGTGGAGCCACAGTCGTAGTCCAGGCTGATGGTGGTGTGGTTGGAGGTTCCCATGGAGCTCAGGGATGTCCCGGTGCCCATCTGCCGGTCGCGCAGACTCTGCAAGTAACTCTGCGGAAACATCGAGGACCAAGGATTCAGTTATTTGGTTCTTCTTCACCAGACAAATGTAAGCTAGTAATGTTGTTACCATGTTTGAACGGCATACTTCAGAAGCTTCTGAGGAAGACTGGAGTATGCCTCGTAAGCCCAATTTTCACTATTCTACTCGACTCTACTCTACCTGGTTGTGCTTCCATTATGCTTTAGTATCTGGTACCGTATCCTAGCAACCAACCAACAACAAACCTACTCTATGCAATCTAACATTGTCTGATTTAGAAGAACCATATCACTTCGACTACTAAGATGACAAGATGACCCTTCTTGAACTATGAACAGAGACCAGAGAGAGAGACCAGAGAGAGAGACCAGAGAGAGACCAGAGAGAGACCAGAGAGAGACCAGAGAGAGACCAGAGAGAGACCAGACAGAGACCAGAGAGAGACCAGAGAGAGACCAGAGAGAGACCAGACAGAGAGACCACAGAGAGGGACCAGAGAGTCTACAGTTTTTCTCGGCCCACAGTTGCACTGACCGGAGCGAGCAGGTCTCCAGCGTAGCGTTTGACCGGAGTGGCTTTGCGGCGGTACGTTCCCTCCTGTCCGGACGCCGCCTGCTGCTTCTTGGCATCTTTCTCCCGAATCTTCACGAGCTGCACACGCTTCTGTCTGCGGCTCAGCACCACTGTGGGACACAGTTCAGTTCAAAGTATTTGTGTAAAGCACTAAATCACAACAACAGTCATCTCAGAGGACATTACAAAGTTGTTAATTCGTCAACAACAGATCAAATAATCAAGGGACTGGCCTCTTGTTGGGAGTCCCAATGTTCAGTCCCTGTAAGGAGCACAGGGACTGAACATTGGGAGGCAGTGTTGAAGATGAATGCAGCTAAAAATCTGGAAATGACGTTAATCATTGGCTTTCATTGAGCGATTCTTACTATTAAAATAACTTACTGATCCAGCTACTCGAGTACAGAGTTTCTTGGATGAATGATCAGGCGAGTAACTTGGGGAAAGAAGATTTTTGCTGTGTCTATAAAAAGTCTCACCTTCCGTGTGGGAGAAGCTGTCTCCGGTGAGCTTCCATTGCACCAGGACTCCCATGATGCTGAGAGCGGGCCACATTCCGAGGATGACGTAGCTGTACCAGCAGAGCGCCGTGCGCGGCGTGAGGCGCATGACCTCGTACACGTAGGAGCCCAGCACCAGCAGCTCCACAAAGTAGTCGGCGCAGACTGTCATGATGGCGGCTCCGAACACCGCGGTGGAGATCATGGTGAAGACCTTCTGCCACTGCAGCGTCAGCACGGCGAACAGCATGCCCGAGCCCAGGAGCGAGCCCAGCGGCACCCACACACTGGAGGGGGTGTAGAATTGCTCTGTCACCAGCAGGGCGGCGAGGGCGAGCAGCAGGCCGAGCAGCAGTCCCGTCATGAAGAGCCCTACGCTGCGCACCATCATGGTGACCAGGCCACACAGCAGGCCGATGCCCAGGCCGATGCCCGCAGACGCCTCCACGCTCAGCTGAGTGTCCAGGACGTGCTCCTTATGACACAGCAGGAAGATGATGACGGAGCCGAACATGAGGCCAGACAGGAACATGACGGCTTTGAAGCAGCGGTACCCTAAGCACAGGGACAAACACTAGGTCATACACTCAGATTAAATATGACAGCTGTAAAACACCGGTACCCTGAGGTCCCTCCTTGGTATCTCCCTGGTCTTTCCCTGGTCTTTCCCTGGTCTTTCCCTGGTCTTTCCCTGGTCTTTCCCTGGTCTTTCCCTGGTCTTGATCTTGTCTCCCTCTCTCGGGTTTCTCTCCACTCACTGGTCTCAGTCACTGGTCTCAGTCACTGGTCTCAGTCACTGGTCTCAGTCACTGGTCTCACTCACTGGTCTCACTCACTGGTCTCACTCACTGGTCTCACTCACTGGTCTCACTCACTGGTCTCACTCACTGGTCTCACTCACTGGTCTCACTCACTGGTCCCCGTCACTGGTCCCCGTCACTGGTCCCCGTCACTGGTCCCCGTCTCAGCTACACTGGGCTAAAATATGACTGATTTGATGCAGTGTAATCTCAGAGAATAGATAGTGTGTAAGACGTCTCCTTTATCGTGTGTCTCTGACCAGTGAGTAAACTGTGAGCTCATTGTGCACAGATGTTTTCACTCTTTCTGCGGCGACTGAAACTAGAGCCTGAAGTTTAGGTCTGTGTAGGATGTTATGTCAACGACAGAGAGGCCAGGAAGAGGCCAGAGACCAGAAACCAGAGACCGACCAGAGAGAGACCTGGTACAGCTAAGCTCTTTCTCTCGCTGGTGTCTCTCTCTCTGGTGTCTCCCTCTCTGGTGTCTCCCTCTCTGGTGTCTCCCTCTCTGGTGTCTCCCTCTCTGGTGTCTCCCTCTCTGGTGTCTCCCTCTCTGGTGTCTCCCTCTCTGGTGTCTCCCTCTCTGGTGTCTCCCTCTCTGGTGTCTCCCTCTCTGGTGTCTCCCTCTCTGGTGTCTCCCTCTCTGGTGTCTCCCTCTCTGGTGTCTCCCTCTCTGGTGTCTCCCACTCTGTCTATGGTCTCACCCTCTGGCCAAGTCTATCAACCATAAACAACATTATACACAGTCTGGTTCTTTTCTGTCCATGAGCCTCTATAGAGATGTTCTTTGTTCGTGACTTTTTTCCCTGAATTTGTCTGGTTTTGCAAATTATCTGGAGAGATTTGTTGAAGAGAACAGAGAAATCAGTATTTTTCTTGTTATGAAGCTTTTTGATTTGTTAAGCGTGGTAAAAATAATAGCAACTCTGCAATATACTGTTGTATTAGTCCCATTTTTTCCTCTCGAACCAGGTTTTTGAGTTTTCAGTCGATACAGAAGGATCTAAGGAGAATATTAGTTCCAGGACATTTATGGACAAAGATTAATCTATTATTCTATGGACCAATGATACTCAAGTGTTCAGCTTCAATTCAATTCAATGTATTTGTGTATCAGCCAAAATCACAACAGCAGTCGCCTCAGAGGACTTTACAAAGTTGTGGATTTCTCAACAACAGATCAGAGACTCAAACAGTTCGAACACAGAAAATGCAATAATAACAAACATACAGAACCATTGGTCCACAAGGAGCGGGACGACAACTATCAAGAAATGTTGATGTCCCATATCCTCACTGGCCTTAGACCGTCCTTCATCGACAAGGAACCACTCAAAAACCTCAGGGATGGATTCTACTGAAGAGTAGAGTAGAGTAGGGTAAGGTAAGGAAGGGTAGGTTAGGGTGCGGTAGTGTAGGGTACAGTAGGGTAGGGCTAGTGAAACAAGGCTTCTGACTAAGTTAATTGCTCTGTATGTAAATGAGAAGGGGAGAACTATTATAACAAATACAAAAGCTGAGAAAGTCCATGTTGCATGTTCTCCCCGTTCCAGGGAGTGTCCCTTACCAAAGAAGCAGTAGATGATTCCAAACAGGCAGCACATGGAGCAGACCACCGCCGGGATGACGTCGTACTGCCGCTGGAGCTCCAAGCTGCAGTCCAGGGTGTGGGCCCCAGGAACCTCTGTATCCAGGGCAGGGTCCGCCATCTTGAGGGAGGGGGAGGGAGGGAGGGGGAGGGAGGGAGGGGGAGGGAGGGAGGGGGGAGGTAAGACGACGGAGGAGGCGTTATCTCAGGTCCATCTGTGCCGCCCACAACTGCAAGAGGAGGGAAAATAAAAAGTGGATGAGCTTCAAAGAAAAGTCCAATAGGCTTAAGGCTGAGGTACCCGAGTTTCCTCAAACTAAACTGACTGTAAACAGAACAATGCTAACCTGCTAGCTCAATGAAGCCCATTAGGGAAATGTTGCTCTATCTGGCTCCTATGGACTTACATGTAAAAGTAAACTTCTCAAACTCAGTAACCGTTTCTGTCACACTCATCATTTTGGGCCTAAAAGTCAGTAGTTTAGCGTCATCCTGGTGTTTATAATCGTCTTAAATACAGATATGAGCCATATAAGAATTGACCAATTAGATGCCTTCATTAGCCTCAGTCCGTTATCCACAGCCTGTTTGTCCGTGGGATTGGATCCCTCTCTTATTTTGGGCCTCCTGAAGGTTTGTAACTTGTTCCCAGATGTTTTTATTTTTTTGTTCCTTGTGATGCAGGAGGGTCTAAGGACAGCGATGATCCGAGACAGTTATTCACATTTCTGGACAGTGGTCACCCTGCTTTGTCCGGACCAATGGCTCCCATCTGATTATCATTATTGCATTTACTGTGTTCGAACTATTTGGTTCTCTCATCACAAGCGATACACAAATAAACTGAATTTAATTTGCGACTTGCCTTAGCAACCGCCTTAGCAACAAGTCTCCCTCATTACGGCACAAAGCTAATGCCGCAGAAGAAATGCCTAAATAAAGAAAATGGTTCCAGCTAGCTTATGTTCAAATCGGCCTCTTCCTTATTAAGGCTAACACTACGGTGATGTCACACTTAGGTCCATGTGTCGGTCTCTGAAATCCTCCGCTCTCCATCTGTCAGTGTTGTGTTCAGAGCTGACACAAACGGCTTTGTCCCTCTCTACGTTATTCATCTGTTCAAACGCCTCCTGAGAAGCAACCAGAGACCAGAGACCAGAGAGACTGAGAAAAACATGTAATAGGCAAAATTCCAGATCTGGTCCTAAAGAGCATCAACATCTGGAGATGGGCCCCACTGCTCCTGACAGAGGCCCTAGTGGCAAAGAAGGATGGGTCAAATGCAGTGGACAGGGACCATTATGTATAACATGGATTAAAGCAGGTCTGAGGTTAAAAGACGCTTTTGTAAAATATCTTTTGTGTTTTGTCCTTAACATATGAAACGCTGCAGAGATGAAAGAACCCTGTGATCTCAAAAGTTATTTTCATCGGCCTGTTTCCTCATTGTGTTGAGTCCTGTATGAAGGCATTTGTTCAGCTCTGGTCCGCGGCCCATGGGTGCGTCAGTTTGGGACGCGTTGGCTCCTCCATGACCTCATTATGGATCACGTTACGCTCTCCACAATTCCACTCAAGAAAACTCCACTATCTAGGACCATGTCTGACACAGTCCCAATCAGTTTTAAGTCAATAGGAGCCAGAGAGAATAGGAGCAAAACTTTGTCTGACGCAAGGTCTGTTTCATGTCCTGTATACAGATGGACTACGCTCTGTGAAGCTCAATGAAGCCCATTGGAAAGTGCTAATGAACAAAGCTCTGCTCCAACTCGCTCTGGCTCATATTGACTGAACTTTTTATCTTATCTCTAGCTCAGTAACCGTTTGTGTCACACACCATTTTGGGCTTAAATCCATGGTTTAGTGCGCTGTGATCCTGGTCTTTACATTGTGATATAGTATTTGTAAATCCAGATATGATCCAGATGAGGATTGATCAATCAGATACCTTCCTTCAAAACTTCTGTTGAATCGGAAAAAATTACCATATAATTTTTGATTCAATTAATTTTAATTTATTCTTGTATTTCTTGTATAATAAAAAGTTCGGACCTAAGCTCCGCAGCGTTAAGCTACCAGCCGTCCTCGGGCACACAGCTTGGACATAACTACAGTTACTCTGGTCCTCACAGTCCCTTTCCCAGTGGAGGAAAAAACGATGAACAATCACTATGATAACCCAATAGCTAGATGTGAGAAGACATAGATTGTACAGCCTGCTTTTAGTATTTTTATAAGGACACCTTTGTTTGAGATGACCTTGGCCTTTAAAAATTTATTTAACAGTTCTTCTCCCTGTTGCCTCGGTTACTACAACCGTATACCACACAAAAATACTGCATTGCATCTGAGTGCGTTCACAGTAAAGTGTCAAAGAAGGAAGCAGATACGGTCTCCACATTCAAGGCCAGGCTTAAAGCACTCTACTTTCATTTAGCATATAATTAGGTAATATATAATATATGGTGTATATATTATATATATATATATATATATATATATATATATATATATATATATATATATATATATATGCTGTATTATGTTATATATATTGTATGTTATGTTATGTATTATATATAATATATATAATATGTATGGTACATGTGATATATATGATATATAATATATAATTAGGTTTGCCTGGATCAGTTTGCAATCCATGAATCTCTTTATTCAAGGCTAGGTTTAAAACAGTCCTCTTTAGTTTAGCATATGGCTAGGAAGGTAAGACTCGGGGAAGGCTAAACTCCTCAGAGTGTCAGTCAAGCTGCATAGGGAGTCAGTTTGCTGGGAGAAGTATGGTAACTTGAGCACTATCCTCTCCTCCTTCCTACTTTATCTGTTTAGCATTTTTAGGATTCTGACTGTAGTTTGTTCATTGCTATTCACCCGTTGTCCCATTGTCTGTTTCATGGTACGATGACGGGATCTTTGAGCCTGGCCTCCTCCATCTACACCTGCGGACTGCCCCACCCGACCCGCCTGGGAGTGCTTCAGTCCTGCACCGGACCTGTCCACGTTCAGCGGCCACTGGTCCACGTTCTGTAGCTAGCTTAGGTCCTGGATCATTAGCCTGTCCGTCCGGAGGAGCGGATCCCTTTCTCATATGGGTCTCCCTCCCTGTGGGTTTCCCTAGTTCTCCCCAAGGTTTCTCACTGTTTCCCACTGGGTTTTTTAAGAGTTGTTCCTTGTCGATGCAGGAGGGTCTTGTTGGACAGTTAGTGTCCAACAGAAAGGATTGGTGATGATCAGGACACTTTAGTATTCTACAACATGTATGGACATTTTCTTCTGTGTGTGCTTTATATTCTTCATGTGTTTTAACTGTTGATTCTCTGATCTGTGTTGGTGATTTCAATGGTTTTGTTCAGTCCTCTGAGATGACTTCTGTTGTGACCTAGGGCTATACAAGAATAAATTGTATTGTATTGTATTGTAATTAAAGTATCTGGACTTTTAAAGGTTATAACTCAAAAACTAAAATTGCTATCACATATTGGAAAAAAGATTTCAAAAACAGATACATCGAAGAGATGGTGTGGATAAAATCAAAAGGAAGATTCACTAATATATTTTTGGCGACATTTTAAACGACCAAAACAGCCTCTGATTTGACAATTCTACTGTGACGCCAGTTACATAGAAAATAAAATGTCCTCAGTCTGAAAAAGCGTCAGATGAAATCCCACAAGATTAACATGGTTAACACAAAATAAGTAAATCACTTGATTTAAAAAGGAATCGTTAAAAAAATAAAATAATAATAATTAAATGTAACGGCCGTGATGGTCCGTTCATTTTCCTCTAATAATTAAACTTGAGGGGAAAAAAAATCTGGTCTGGTTTCACATTTATTAGGTTGACTATATAAATGTATCACTTTGTTTCAATTTTTTGTAAAAAAAAAATAGAATTTCTTTATCAAATGTGGACATCTGATAATATGCAACAAACTTCCGCTAAGCTCATTCTGTCAAATCATCACGTCTGTTACATAAAATAAACAGGGCCGCTAAAGGAAACTTGTCTAATGTGTAAAACAGTTATGTTCTAGTAACTTCTAATGGACAGAGGAGGTGCTTGGATACATGAAAAACATAAAATGTCTTCTGATTATTAAAATCCAAATGTTGGCCTTTTGTCACACTTTTGTGCCCTTTAGTGTGAACAAGCCCATCTATGAAAGTCAGCAAAGTAAAGACTGAAATGGTCAGCTGTGTTTGTGGCAGATGCTACGCAGGCTAATGCTAATGCATTTATTCAGTTCCTTTAGACATTTTCCTAAAATTCGCACCCATTAGAGAAATTTCTTTCAGCAAAATAGAGACTCCATCAGTTCTCCTCTTGATACGAGCAGTTTCCCCAACTGTACACGACACAGAAAAAGAGCATTTTGACTCAGAATCAGTGAATATTTACTTTTTTCTTAATGGGGAGATTAACTTCCTGTTCTCCGAAGGACTTTCACGCCGCTCGTGACGTCAGATGCAACCCAGCCGTAGCCTTAAATCACAACAATAGTTATCTCAGAGGACTTAACAAAACCGATCCGAGAATCAAACTGTTCAAACACAAAAAATATAGAACACATAGGTTTTGTGCCAGTTGGACCATCGTCCATGAATGTTGATAAATGTTCATTAAAAAAATGTACTCCAGCTAGCTTATGTTCAAATCGGCTACGGTGAGGTCACACTCGGTCAGTCCACTCCTGACATACAGTCTAGTCTGTTTCCACCGACTTCACCTGGAAACGATGAGGGGAAACTTCAGCTCTGGTTTTGATCACGGAGCACATGGTCACCCGACGAGAACAAGTCGTACTCTTCTGGATCCTCAGGCCAGTTCTAATTCACCTGCCAAATCCTCTTGATAAAGTAAAGCTGGGGTACCTGCCTTTTTTTTCTTTCTTTTTTAAACTAATATTACATTGTTTTTGTCCCAAAAGAGAAAGTCCTGGAAAAGTTAGTTTGTGAAGAAATCAGACCACAACATGCCATCTTCATCTCATTAGGAAACATGAGTTACAAAGAGCCCTCTTTAGAAAGCTGATTGGCACATTGCCATATTGCTAGCAGCAATGGAGAGAACATTTCCAGATCCACATTCTATGACTTG